GACCTAGATAGAGATATATAGTACTTACCTTCAGCGGGTGCGTCGTCGCGACGTACAAGGGGGCCAACTCCAAGACCGAGTAATCCACCTTTAGGCTTTTCGGATTCAGATTGCCCCTGGCCTTTATGACGTTGGGTGTCAGTCACAAACCCGTGCACTGAACATGGGTAGGGAGCAGGGAGAGAGTGCTTACCTTCGGGCGAGGCGTGGACATCTCTTTTGGAGGAACTGCCACTGCCACTGCCACTGCCACTGCTATCCCCACCAAGCCCCGCCGGTAAACCTGGTATACCACCCTTTCCCAGGGCTTTACAAAAGTTGGGCATCAGCCACAGCCTCGTTCACTGGGACCTGGGTGTGGGAAGTACTTACCGCCCGTTAGCCCACCTGTGAAGCCATCGAACGGACCTCCTTCGCCGGGAGTGTCCCCATTGCCGTTGGGGGGGTTGGATCCCACCGGTGCTGCCACGGAGAAAGAGGCCAGCCCCAAGGCCATGATAGAAACGATGGATGAGTAACGCATCTTGAAATAATTTAGACACAGGATAAGTGGTATTGATAGAGTCTTGCAAAAGGCTGGTTCCGGGATAAGAGGGAATTCCAGAAGAGGATGGTTGCTTGATGAACGGATTTCTCCGGGGCGTGGTGGAGGTACTTATAGGTTTGAATGTATGGACGGGATGAGCATGATTGAGTGGACGGATGAGTTTGACCGGCCATGGATCTGGTAGGAGTAGTCTATCGGCGTAGGATACATAGATTCCAGGGGTACAGATCATCCATGCAAGTTATCGATAGTATCGTGTAGATTTTGATAAGATCTGCCGTACCTTGCATATGGGCAAGAACCTTAATTTACAGTTCATGGTGGAGATCAATGCTTGTTCTGGTTTGTTGATATCTCACATGTGAGCGTCTCGTACTGCTATGTTGTCTACTGCACATTGCTACTCAGGGGTAGAGCTCTTATCGTACTCGGTCAATGTCTATGTCGAATGTAAACAGCATGAGTATAGCGTCACATCGTTGTTCGGAATTCACAGTGATCATCCACAGGGTTCAGAACGACAGAATGGTGTGGCCCGCGGATGAGATGTATCACATCGCTCGAATCGCGACTTTCTTGCATCACGTCATCGTATGCTTTGACACTCTTAGAAGCATTACGCGGCGGAGCATTTGTCTCGCCGGTTATATTGCAAAGATAAAGGCTTATTGCGCCATATCCATCTCAAAAGCTTAGCTCACGTGTGTACGTCATGAGGTGGAGGTTATACATCAATAAGTAAGAAACTCTGCATATTGATGAAGGCTCGCCGGCCTCTTACCTATCCAGGAGCCAATGTGTTGGCTCCACGATAGGTGATGATCGACGAATAAGTGATGATCACGATGCAAGGGATGGAGCTAAGACATGATATCTACGTACAACGTTATACGAAGTCCCACAATGAGAGTGATATCTAGTAGCCTTGCCCAGATCGGAATATTAGAGTTGATGATCGGGCATATTTTGATAGAGCCTTACATGGTGTTGGACATATGTCCGCCAGGGGTTGCGTTATTCGATGACAATAATAGACGCCCGGCGTACTCCGTAGTTATTTTGCCTCTTCTATTGACTGAACAGCCTGACGCATGCCTTGGGCACAGGACTGATAGGTAACGACGAATATTATCGCCCTAATCTTAGCTTTCTCGGTGATTTTCAAGCAGTCAATGCTCTTGGCACAAACTACGGAGTACGCATCAATGTGTTCCGTTTCACACCGTAATTCCTATTGGTGATATAGTAGTATTCTGAAGTCAAGCTCTTGGTAACTGCGGTAGCTCTTCAAGTCCTAATGAGGATCAACTGACAAGGACTACATGTCGTTATTTGATGTGTCCCAAGTGTATTTGCGGTAAACCAAAAAGTACACACACCAAAACTCCTTTTCGATGCAGCGAGTAAATATTCACACAGGTAAGAATTATATGCAATTGGAAAGTAAACCCAGCTCATTAACCTTACGTTGACTTCGCCTTCTCTCCGTTGCTCATATCCGGACGAACAAAGTAAAGAAACTTGACAAAATTCAAATATGCAAGCCCTGTATAAGTAACAGGAACATAGCACGCTCCACGTCGAATCCACCACATGGCCACACGCGCCGCCCAATCCGGCGACACAATAGCCTTACCCATCTGCGACTCAAACGCAGCAGGTACAATATGACGATAAATAATGCGCGGATCGTCGTATAGCGCACGTGCATAGGGCATAAACGCGCGCTTGGACGCCGAATACCGCTGCATCTCGGGAATACCCCATGCGGGATGGATCTCGATCTCGCTGCCGACGTACCATATCTCCGGGACTGTCTTGCTAGCACGTCCTTCCCCAGCTGCTTTCTGTTCCAGGAATAGCTCGATGAGGCGAATGGTTGAATTGCAATTGGCGTCCATTGCGTCTAAGCCCTTGGTGCCATGTGACAGTATGAGGATATCAGCGTCTTCGAGGATCGGGCCGACACGCGAGAAATCTTGGTGTGTCCAGTCTTTGCCGAAGCTTAGCTTCCGCACGTCCTTTACCCCTTCAGCTAGTAGTTGCTTTTCGATTGCGCGTCCGAATGCGCCAGATCCACCGGTGAGGACTACTCTTTTGTTTCGGACGAAGTATGCGGTGCCTGCTACCCAGTCGAAGAGTTTGACCATGGAACCCATGTACCGATCGGGGTAAACGTGGTGCAAGGCGTGGAACTCGGGGCCGACGAAAAGCCAGCTGCGGTCTTTGGGCACTGTGTCGAAGGAGATGTGGTTGGAGTCTCGGCCGCTCATGGCGATAACTACCATCGTCCTTATGAATTCGAAGGCGGATACCACGATTAGCGGCGTGGTGTCAGGGTTTCCGTAATTATCTGTGATCAAGTTGCGGGCGAGGAACCAGCCGACGACGCTTCCGAGGATCTTGCTAAGCATCTCCAATGGTAATGAGATCCAAGCATTCTGTCGTATGTATCGATTATTGAACTTCAGGGAGCGATTGTAGTAGAGATGGTGGAATTGGTGACACCAGGACAGCCATCGCAAGAACTGCCATTGCGACTTAGACCACTGGTGGAGGAGGTAATGGGCCGTATCGAAGAAAACCGAACCGGTTATATAGAGGCAGAAAAACGACACGGCAAATGAAAGCGGAGACATGATGAACTAACAATACACTTGTGTCTTACTGGTTTCATCCTTCGAGTCATTCTGGCGAGTTGATATAAATACGGATTCTGGGATAGTAGGGCAGGCATACGAAGGTGAAAGGTAGTTTCAGGGACTACTGAGACACCAGCATCGCCACGAGGCGTAGTCGATATCAGGTTACCTAACCCCATTGTGAGGCCACTGCTCTGAGACATTCCTTCTTGGCCTTCGTGACGTGATCCACTATCGGGAGACTCGAGTTTGGTTCAAGGTGGTCGCCCTGGAGTTTGGGACATATGCTAAAGGGCTTTACGTTTCGGTAGTTCTGATATGTATCTCTAGACTGTTGCTAGGATTTGATATATTTGAGGTCTATGCATCTACTCGTAAGTGACATTGATTGAAGGATATGTTGAGACATCATCACCCTACAAACGTCAACCAAGCATCTTCCTCCGCCACTAAAGCTGTACAGAAAAGTGCCAATATGAAATAGAGTTCCATTAATCTGTGACTCAACAATGGTAGCATCCAGAGGACTGTTACATGAGCATGTCCATCGTGGCAGGACAAAGGGTTTTCTTCCTTATGCCAAGTCGAACTGCAACGAGCGTTGAATGGCGGCAATCCAAAGAGCGGAGCGACACCGAGCCGGGCCTTTCTCGTAGCAGAAACCACGGTAGAGGATTTCTTTGTTACACTCTAGTCTCTCATCCCATTTGACAGCAGCCTAGCGAAGTCTAGCGCTAAGCATGCAGACAAAGGCACCAACATAGGGAGTACCCTTCATAATCCATCCAGGGGTCCAACTTCTCCACTCAGTTTACCTACTAAAGTCGGTTAGTGCACTATAGTATGAACGGAATACACATTCCATCGATAGGCGGTGATATGTACCTGACCCTGCCATGTTTGAGATTTGTCCCCATATCCAGTATCCCAGGAATTAAATCGGAACCAAACATCCATAAAACAGTTCCGATCTCCGACCGGACTTTACTGAATCAGGTAGAACCTCCAGCAGGCGTGGATCTGCAAAGCGGTTGATCGTATTTTAATCCAGTTACGGATTAGTTCATATTGGTGTCCTGCGTTGTCACAGCAGGGTTCAGAAAGCCAATGTTTTAGTGGCTTTGATCTGTTTCATATCGAGACAGTGGTTGCGGTGAACCCTATCCACAAGCACGTTTTGGATTTCTCCGTTGGGCGGAATCAGCCTTACTCCACCGAAATGCCAGGTTCTAGAATCTTTTTTTTTTTTTCTAGTGTCATTGCGTGATCTTGGGTTAATTTGGGCATTGCACGTCAATTGTTAGAGCGCTAAGATACACACAGGAATTGACCGAGGTATAACATGTCCTCAACCAACAGCCAGGGTAAGGGGTTATCTGAAATTAACCCTCGGGATTAGATCTGAGAAATCTCGGCGGCTCCTTTTTCACAACCCACGAAGCGAAAAACCAGTGGAATCCAGGGGTGGAATAGTATGGCCCACAAAACGCTTAAATGTGGAGCCAAGCTTAAAAATAAGTCTGTTCGACGGGAAGCCGTTCGGCCTATCAGAGACTCAACTCTTTTCTTCAGCCCTAAACATCTCGTGGCGGTGCATACGAATACGAATGTGGATTGGACAAGGGCGACTTACCTACGAGCAAGATTTCTCTTCAGTAGGGGGGTGGCTGTGATGTGACGAACATATATATGACGATGTGAAGGTTGTGATAGTAATGGTAAGATGGATAAGGGGGTCGACGATGTAGGAACTGTGGGTATCCATTACTCAATCTGCGTTACATAGCGCCTTTAAAGGGCGAGGGGGTGGGATTGAAGGATCCATAATACGAAGCCTTATAGCTTCTGAATGTCGATGACAAAAGTCGGCATGGTGCAGGATCGCTTTCCTGGGAGGAATGGCCAGAGGATCGATTCAATGGCTGCCTATAATGACAGGGAGTACTTTTTTGGTTTTTTAGGACTCTTAGACTAGCAGATGTTACATTTCGATTTTATCTGCTTTTTGCTGTCTATTCTCTCTTTCTTCGCATGTATGTAGCGTGGCTAGGGCTCGTCTGTGCGCAAGCTACCGGTACGCGAGAAAGTACGAGTACGAGATGATGTCGTTGTTGGTCATAACGTGGATGCTATAACCAGGACTAGTGAATGTAGAGCATTGAGTACGCTTTTAGAGGTATGGTGCGCAAGGCTTCCATATTTTCCAGCTCTGACAAATGCCACCACTGTATGGATGAGAAGGTCTTTCATTGTTCGCTACCCTGCCATTATCCACTTCAGCGCGTGGGGAATAGATTGAACCCTGCGCGATTGGATGGTTGATTTGCCGAATAATGCCAGCCACTGATCGATTTAGGTGGTTGTCGCAGCATGCCAAACCACGCAGTATTTCTCTTCTAAATCTATCTAGCCAAAGGTTACATATGCATAGCCATGTCACATTTCAATTGATCTCGTTCCCAGGCAGCACTGGCGCTTCCTACATGTTCATGAATATGTTTTGGCTCTATTTGTGCTGAGATCCATCCCGTGAGATTGACAGTCCTCTGAAGAACCAACAAGATATGTGCTAAGTTTATCGGTGTTTAAACCAGACCAGTGCTGCCATTTAGCCCTGCCTCTCCCTAATATGGTAGCTCTTCAGTTTAAGGAACGGATCAAATGCCTTTGGTCCTAGGGTGTATCCCATGCCTGAGTTCTTCCACCCGGTCCACGCCAGATCCTGTATGTGGTGTTTAGTTACTTGGCGAGCGCAGGTGTGAAGTGAAGTTATACTCACAGGGTTCGGATAATCGCAGCGGTTGATAAACACCGTTCCTGCTTCCAACAGCTTGAGGAGCTTTTCGCCAGCCGCAAGATCTTGAGTCCACACACTCGCAGTTAAGCCGTAGTTGCTGTCGTTCATCAATTGCACGGCTTCCTCGTCCGAGGATACTCGCATAATAGGGAGCACTGGTCCAAATGTTTCCTCTTTCATGACGATCATATCGTGGTTCACTTGTGTTAAGATCGTAGGCACCACGTAGTTACCCTCCTCTGGGGGGCTAGTAAAGGTCGGGTTAGGAGGCGTAGCATTGACGGCACCCTTAGCCAAGGCATCTTGAATCTGGGAATTAACCGACTTCTGAGCGGAGCGTGAGATGACCGGGCCGACGTTTACCGTCTTGTCCGCTGGATCTCCAAGTTTATATCTGCAACTTCGTCAGCGCCAAATATCCACATTTGGTCTGTGGGGTGGTAGATACTGACTGGGCCAGCTCCTTTTGTACCTCAGCCACGAAAGCATCATGGATGTCGGTGTGCACATATACCCGCTCTACGGCGCAGCAGCTTTGACCTGCATTGAACACGGCACCATCCACCAGTTGCTCCGCAACATATCGCAGATCTGCGTCCGATCTCACGTAGGCAGGGTCGTTTCCACCCAGCTCTAGGTTGACAGGGATGAAGCGGCTCGCGGTCGCTTCGCGTATCAACCGCCCACCTTGTGTTGAGCCAGTGAAGGTAACCATATTGATGTCTGGAATATTCACTAACTCTTTCAAGGTGTCTGTACTCCCTGAATGTATGACCTGCAGGACAGCTGACGGGAGTCCAGCTTCGTCAAATATCTCTTTGATGCGGTCGCCAACCAACGGGGTCTGTGGCGACGGTTTCAATATAACCGAGTTTCCGGCGAGCAAGGCAGGGATTAAGGAGTTCACTATGATCAAATAAGGGAACTACAAGATCAGCATCGATAGGGTCAATGATTTGAAAAGAGTCGGGCCGTCACTCACATTCCACGCAAAGATAATAAGAGTCGGTCCGATAGGTTCCTTTTCAATCCATCGTTTGAAGCCAGCTTCCGGCCGTCCTGGTAATGGCTGGAGAGCATCCTCCGCAATCGCCAAAAGGTAATCAGCGCGCTTTTGCATCGTTTCTACCTCCTTGGCGCCAAAGGAAATTGGCCGACCCATCTGAAGGGTCAATTCCTCTCCGAGGGTCTGCTTGCGTTCTTGAATCAGTGCCAGCGCTTTGGTCACGATCTCCTTTCGCTGCCCAAAGGGCATGTTCGAGAAAGTGAGAAAGGCTTTGGCCGCCGCCCGACAAATATTCTCGGCTTCTGGGATGGTGGTTTCATCTCGCTCGCAGACGACCTTGTTCGTTGATGGGGAAATGGTGCTGATCTTTTGTGCCATTTTTTTTTGTGCTTTTCCTTCGTTCGATGCACGGTTGACAATTATGGTTAGTCAATTATTGGTTCGGTCCCAAAGCCTGGTATGAAAAGATCCAAGTTGAAGTAAAGAAATGTAGCCCTAAGATGGAGTGCCTCCGAAGTAAGTACCCCTGGGCGAGTATTGTCCAGCTGTCCCGTATTTGGATCTGTACATATTCCACTCTTGATGCGAGAAGCATATCTAAAAACAAAAACACTCTCAAAGGGGCGCGCTTCGACGTTGTGACAGGTATCTCTACTAGGGAGCGCAAGAGCCAGTAAGCAGCAAAACCGCGCTGGGTCTGTGGGGCCTCGGGCCTCAATGTGATTTGGGAAGTATCCCACCACAACCACCGTATCTCATACCAGAAGCGCGCGGAAAAAGCAACCAGATCAGACTTTCGCTATTGTGGGGCTGACCTGACTGTCGAAAATCATAATGAGCTACTCCCAGTCTAGGGTTTGATACTCGAAACAGCGTGCACAACCAGTAATGAATGATTCCGCTGAGCTAGCCCATCGGATGCATGCTTGAGCATTAGAGCTGGTGGCAACTATGTCTAAGATTAGTAGATACCGTGTGCGCGCGGTAGAGAGGATATATAATTTAGCTGCCGCGACTCCTCTAGGCGCGTCTGAATGTGTTGGCAAACAAATGATCCGTCAGGCGCCCTTCTCGATTTAAAGCACAAGAAAGTGCCAAAGGTCATACTAAGCCATCGAAAGAAGTGGACATCAAACCAAAGTCTACAGTCAACGACTACTCCACAGGAAGCCACAGCATACCAACGACGATGCCGGGAAGATTGAGTAACAAGAATGCCATCATTACCGGTGCTGCCGGGTAAGTTCGAGGTCTAGGGTTTTTTTTTCTAAAGGTGCCAAAGAAAAGGAAATGTTTCTGACTCGACCAAAAAATAAACAAAATAGTGGAATTGGACTTGAAACAGCAATCCTTTTCCTCCGCGAAGGTGCCTCGGTTTTGATGGCCGACGTGAATTCCGCAGCACTCGACAGGGCCTTATCGAAAGCCAAAGAGGTGGTACCGGGCCACGTTGGTCGAATTGAAGCCAAGGTCGTGGATGTCTCGGCAGAGGCAGATATCCAAGCAGTGGTCCAGCACCTTGATAGTTGGGGCGGGGTGGATGTGATGTTCAACAATGCTGGAATTCAGCATCTTAAAGATGGAGATGCTGAAGAATGTTCAGACCCTATTTGGGATTTGACTATGAACATTAATGTAAAGGGTGTGTGGTATGGGTCCAAGCATGCCGTTCGCAGTCTCCGAAGACATGGTAAGAAAACAGGCAGTATCATAAATACAGCGAGTATGGTCGCCCTTGTAGGCGCGGCCACGCCGCAGGTGGCCTATACGGCTAGTAAGGGAACAGTGCTTGCGTTAACCCGTGAGCTCGCTATTGTTCATGCGCGCGAGGGGTACCGTTTCAACTCTCTGTGTCCTGGCCCTCTCAAGTAAGTCACATTCCAGACCATATCGGTATGCACCCGCGTCCTAACCTTGCCAATAGTACGCCGATGTTGCAAGATTTCTTGGGTGATGACAAGGCCAAGCGTTTTAGGCGGGAGGTACATTTTCCAACCGGTCGGTTTGGCGAGGCGATTGAACAAGCCCAGGCAGTGGTCTTCCTTGCAAGTGATGAGAGCAGTTTTGTCAATGCAGCAGATTTCGTTGTCGATGGCGGCATGACCAAGGCATATGTGACGCCGGAGGGGCCCTCGACTGTAGGACCCAAGAACCTAGGTCAATGAGCAGGGAAAGACTGAACAGGAACAGATAGAAATAAGGCGCTGAGTTGGATGCTAGTATGATGGGAACGCACTATGTAGATGATATACATAATTGTTATGCGAATGAGATCCAGATTTCTGCTGTTTGCATCGCCTTCGATAGCTCCCACGGCCCAGTCTCGGCCCCCGACCACATATGCTCCAGGATATCACGGGTTCTTACAATATTTCCCAGTCCGATCGTGTCCGACATAGTATTCAGTCGAATCCGAATTTTATCCTGCTGTTGCCGACACGTCACGCAAGAACCCACGACCGCGATTGGCCAACAGAGGCTCGTGTTTATTTGCCTAGTAGGCGGAAGTTGATCTAGATATAACATTGCTTTAGTAACCGCCCCCTGGATTGTAGTAGCATGTATGCCTTGTGCATCGTGACCGGCTGTGTCCAATATGGTATAGAGATACAGAAGTGTAGCCTGTTGATATATATGACCAGCAAGGGCCACTTCATATCGTGCGGACTGGTGTGGCTCCCACTGTGTAATCTCCGAGTGGATGGTTGCATATGTCGTTACTTGATCAGCTACAACGTTGTTTCTACCGCGTCCTAACCACGTCCGACGCAAATCAAATATGCGCGGTACAAACAGGAGCAGTCCCAACCAACACCCACACAGACTGCCGAGATATCCCGACGTAGCTAATGCCTGCCCCTCTTGCAGCAATTCGGCGCATAATAGAAACTGTGGAGTAAATTGTGCATCAATAGATATGAGGCTGGTGGTGGCTGTGTATACATAGTATTCCAGCAGAAAGTTCCTCAGCTCGTTGGGTATAGCTATGTCGCGCCGAGTGAGAACGCGCGGCACAAGAGACCTGGCGGCTAGGAGATGGTCGAACACAGTTCCATTCGTGTCCCCACGGGCGGTCTACAAGCGTCAGCACAATCATGGGTTCTCTTCGGCTTCAAGCTTTACCCACCTCTGTAAAACACATAATCAACACACTGACTGTGAGTGACAATAGATCCACTTGTGTTGGGGCAACGACATTGTTAATTGCCATTCGCAATGATCTCAAAGATTTGTTATAAAGCCTTATAGCCTCAGTATGAGGCGAATCCGAGCCTCTTATTGCTCGGTGAGCAGAGCTCTGGCATAGGATTGATTCCAAAATAAGATCGCTATACAAGGCTAGTGGTACAAGTTGGACGATGAATGGATTAGATATACTGGCTCCATTAGCCATGCTGTTTGCTGTCGTTTGAATATAGTATCCAAAAAGCTCGAAGCGGGCAGGATCAAGTTGGGGCATGAATGTCGGTCGCGACAGCAATGGTTCATGCAATTGGGCGGCTAGCGAAGGCGTTGAAGGCCTTACAGCTGTCTCTTGGACTCTATGCGGCTCTCTATGATCAACATTTGCTTCATCCAGCATCAAGTCGTCATTAGCTGCTGTGGTATCGTCGGATGGGTTAACGTGATATTCTTGACTTTCAGGCGAGCTCCGGGCAGTCACCGTCGACGGCGGTCGAGAACTGCCTCCAGACCTTGTAGGTGCATCTTCCCCAGTCCTCATTTTAGGTGTAGCCGGTGTAGTATCGTCAGACAGACCATCTGCAACATGCTGTGTTGCCGCTGATGATCCAGATGCCTTGCGGCTTTCTTCCATGTCCGCCGACTGCCACCGACAGCGGAGCTTATTGCGAATACAGCCACAGCAATCGGGTTTCCCTTCGTCGCATTTCTTTTTACGTGCCCGACACGTCAAACACCCTGTCTTTACACGGAGCAGAGGCCTCCTTCTCCATCTACTCTCTTTTGACACCATGGCGGGTAGTAGTTGGTTGAGGTTTGCAGTAATCCGGAGTTCCAGACTTGACTTCACTTTGCGGGGTATTTTTGCTTCCCGTGTTGTCAAAAATACGGCGCTAACGTAAGAACTGTTATAGGAACTTAGATCCTCCTTTATTTATCCTTCATTTCCCCGAAGTTTCCAAATTGCTCAATATGTCATGTAAAATCTATACATGCAGGAATAAGATGCTCACGAGCATAATTCTTGACTGTATTTCTATCGCTTGTATGCCAGTTAAAGGTGACATACGGGGTAGACGTGAGACATACATCCTACTGACCATACTACACCTGATATATATTTTGAAATAGACACCATATGTGACATTCTCTTACCTTCCCAAGAAGCAAAGAGTTAACAAGAAAAAAGGCAAAGGAACTATATAATGAAAAGGAATATAAGCTAAGGATGAGGTGATTTATAATTTTAACAAAAAACTAGCATTACTCGTGAAACACCGTGCACCTAATTTCTGACCAGTATAAATCATGTGCACTTAGACAATCACCAGCCCTTCCATGGAATCCAGGCATCACGTACAATGTCATTTTCATCGACCACATAATATACGTGAAAAGCTGCCGCAGTGATGCAAACATGTTGACAATATAGTGATACCCTTTGTCCTACCCGAAAGACATCCTGAATGTTTTGTGTGGCCCCAGACACAGACTCGTCATTCAAAGCAAGACCAAGAATGCCATGCTCTTGAGACAAGCGAACCACGTGCCAGTCAGGATACTCAACAACTAGACCAAAGCCTGGAATGGAACTGGTTTCTCGGGACAGGGCTATGGCACCGGCGTTGACGAGAGCTTCGTTGCGCTCAGGATAAAGGCTACACACATCGGCCAAAATGCGCACTGCTTGGTCGGTCCGGCTCACCAAACCGGTGCATACTTGCTGAAGGTCAAGGGCAGCAAAATTACCTAACAGAATGTATCAATTGATGTAAAAGCCTTGCAGGTATCAGGAGAACATACCTGCATGTAATTCTATGAGACACCCTTTGGGAATTTTGTTTTTGATGGCTTGAATCGCATGAGCAGTAGGCGTTGATCCGATGGATAGAACAAACGAGCGTTCACTCGATGGAACCATCTGTGAAGCAGCTAGGACACCTTCCAGCTTAGACTGGAGGACTGCATCAACCGACCCACGGTCACGACATCCATATGAATGACCTGCATGGCAATAGAATCCATGAATAGATACTGCGAAGGAGCTCTCAGAGCGTTCGATAAGATGGCGTAGACGTGGGGAACTGTTGATAACACCAGCGCGATGAGAACCAACATCAACCTTGATGAAGACATCCCAAGCCCCAATTCCTGGATTCTCCACAGCGAACCGTTCTAAGAGTTCTACATGTTGCTCGTTATCGATCATAAGTAGGATCTTGACTGATCGTCCGAGGTTTACAAGACGTGGAAGGACACTGTCGGTGATGGGCAGTCCGTAAAGACACTGGAAGTAGTGAGCTCGCCAATTCAGCTCTACAGCTCGGCACATACAGGATCCTCACCTCGTCTAAGACTCCTTCTGTAACTAATGGTAAAGCTCCTTCGATTTCACAAACTGTCGATGCAACGATCTTTCGGTGTTTACCGCCATCTAGCATCATTCGCGTTACTTCAATACTCTGTTCAATAGGTGTCATCTATGAGTCCTTGTACCCTGGATGTAATGCTTTTACTGACCTTGAGCGTTTTAACGTGTGGCCGAAATGAGATGCCAAGCTGCGAGACATCGTTGAGTAGGCGTTTGACGTTGCTCTCTATGATAGGACGACTTAACACAAAGGCGGGTGTCGGTAGGCTGGAAATAGGTTTATTCACATAGGTCCCGTGGGTTTGAAGTGATATATCCATTGGGAACTCAAGTATGATACGCAATGTTGCCGGTTGTGATAGTCAGGATGTGAAACTCTGCTTAAAAAAAATCGATGTTTCCCGCCCAAATTTGCTGGGCGGCGGTGAAGAGGAAATCAACACAAAAACAGAAACACGAAAGTGGAAAAGGCTTTAGACTAAACCTACTGAAGCCTAATGGAGCAGTGATAATGTTGTCAATCTGATGGCGGATAGGGAAGATAGCAGCGCGGTAATCTGGCGTGCCAGGATGGACCAATGAGAAGTCATAGCGCGCTGATGATCTATATTGGTCGATGTAGACTCAATTTGACATCACACGCTCTCTAGTATCCACTTCGTTGCCACGCCCAGTTCCAAGATGGCTCTCATCTTCCTATCTCTTCAATATCTGGGGAAATCTAAATTACGTCTAGTTGTGCGGGGTAAGTACTGATCATGGTGATAGCACGTAGATTGCAGAGGGCTAGGGGAATGCCAGCAGCCAGGTGCATGATAAACTTAAATATAGGTATATATCGATCCAGAACGCGCCCTGTCTGGATCCTTTGTAAGATACAATATGCTACATTGACATTACATGTCCAAGCAGCTGCTCCTAGTCAGGCAAAAATATTTAGCCAGTCTCCACTATCATAATACTAAAGGTTGAAACCATGGATGCTGGGGATAAGACCCACCAAGAGATCGAGATGGGAGACTACCTATCCGATCATCACACAAGTAAGTAGAATATGGTCGAATGTCTAAACAACATATAATAACAAGTCAGTCATAGCTGCTGATGAGTTCTATGAATTACGGAAGAACTTCTCCCTCCTGTCCGTGATTGGAATGGGCTTCTCGCTCGCAAATTCCTGGTTTGGTATATCTACGGCCTTAGCCACTGGGATTAAATCGGGAGGTCCCGTGCAAGTTGTTTATGGTCTCATTATTATCACATTTGTTTGTGGATGTATCGCAGCCTCCCTTGCTGAGTTGTCCTCCGCGATGCCTAACGCCGGAGGTCAGTACTACTGGACAGGTCAGCTCGCAAATCCAAGATATGCTCGCTTCTTGTCGTACGTCACTGGTTGGATCGCTTGGATCGGCTCGCTCTTCACCTGCGCAAGTATCGCCCTCGGTGTCGGAGGGCTCTGTATGGGTTGCATCCAGCTAGCCCATCCCAACCTGTGAGTGATGCCCGTGACAGCTTGGAGACGCAATAACACGTACTAAGCATGTGTACAGCGAAATACAGCCTTGGATGGTCTTTGTAAGCTATCAGGTAATTAATGTCAGCTGTGCAGTATTCAATATGTACAGTCGGACTCTGCCTCATGTGACCCAGGGTACCCTCTGGACATCAATTATATCGTTTGCGGTCATATTAATTACAGTGCCTGCAAAGTCACCGTCACACCAACCATCCACGTTTGTATTTACGGAGTTCATCAACGAGACAGGGTGGTCTAGTGATGGAATAGCATTCATTGTCGGGCTTATTAATTCAAACTGGGCATTCAATGGCCTAGATTGCGCGACTCACATGGCCGAAGAGGTCCTCCACCCAGAGAAAGTCGTTCCCATTGCCATCATGGCTACAGTAGCGATCGGCTTTGTCACTGCTTGGCCGTTTAGTATTGCCATGATGTATAGTATGAACGACTTTGATTCTATCGCAGCGACTGTGACAGGAGTTCCAGTTCTCGAACTGTTTCTTCAAGCGCTTGATAATAAGGCTGGTGCGATCGTTCTCACATCGCTGATTATTCTCACCGGGTGCGGGTGCTTAATCGCCTCTCACACATGGCAGGCCCGCCTGTGCTGGTCCTTCGCACGAGACAACGGGCTTCCCGGGTCGAGGTACCTTTCCCAAGTTCATCCAACTCTACTGGTGCCGGTCTGGAGTCATTTGGTTAGCACTCTGATTGTTAGTATTCTCGGGTGCCTATATCTGGGTTCATACACTGCATTCAACAGCATGGTCACTGCCGCTGTGGTTCTCCTATACGCTTCGTACAGTAGCCCAGTAATCTGTCTCTTGGTCAAAGGACGGTCTAGTATTCGACATGGGCCATTTTGGCAGGGGGTGATTGGACACTGTTGCAATTACGTTTTACTCGCTTGGCTGCTGTTTAGTCTTGTGGTGAGTGTGCCTTTCACCTTTATTCCATACACTCCTCTGCTCCTCTTTCTTTTCCCTTTTTCTTCTTTCCGTCTTGCCTTCTTCCATTTTCAATATCCTTTCTCTCTCTCGTTTTCACCCCCTGTCTCCCTCTTGTATGTGTTCTAAATAGACTAACATAGTACAGATGTATTCATTCCCCCCTGCTTACCCCGTTACAGCGAACAATATGAACTACGTGTGCGTCGTATATTTCGTCACATTCATTATTATCCTCGCGTGGTGGATGTTGCACGCTAGGAAGAATTTCACATTGCATTAATCACCATGCGCAGTCTTTTCCGCAGACTTTCCCACATTAGATGATATGAATGTAAACATGGTATCACCGCAAAAATGTACATGTTAACTTGAGTTCATTGGCATTTTAGCAAGCGCTTATCGAATTTGCGAAGACTGCGTTGTCATTGATGCTGCTATACCTCTAAAGACCAAAAGAATGCACCACGCAAATATTAGCGTGATAGGTACGAAGTACGTAGGATGAGCTGCCAAAACTACATCCGCCAATGATTTACGCCTAAGCAACCTGATCTTTTAAGCCACCAGCTTGTGAATAGACAAGGAAGGGTATGTATCTATTCAGTGATGGTAGGTTACGTTAAGATATCTTCTAACGGTGGATGGTGATGGAATTATCTTCCGAGTATTATATACGATTCAAGTCATATACCACCTCGTTGAAAATATCCCACCTGGTTTGCGCCAAGATGCTATGCAAAAAAGCCGGTTATCGAATATAAACAAGCAGCCAGGTTTATACAGGACCACAGGTAAATGCACCATGAACCTTGCCGGTCCGGTAATTATTCCTCTGTTGATATTATTGTCAGTACATGCGCGACACTCCACATTCCAAAGAGGTATGGGTTAACTTACTATATCCTCGATACTGGAATATAGACCACAGACCAACACAGCCACACCAAAAATAAAAACTAACATGTTGACGACACTGCGAAGTAGGTTCTCCTTGGAGTACCACTTTCCCTTCCGGAGGAACATGAACCACATGACTGGAGGCAGGTAGAAAGAGAACCCAGATGTGAAAAGCGATGAGACGATAGATAACAAGTCTGAGAAAAAAGGGATGGCTTCGGCAATGACCCATGCGATTACCGTAATAACGGTGATAAGGGTAAGCCATGTAATCCAACCTCCGGTTGTATTAATATATCTCGTGACGCTGTTGACATATATCCGTTGATGGATTAAGCGACCCGCGACGATGGTGTTGATGGCGCCCGAAATAAAAATAACAGGAAGTGCTATGCCAAATGCAATCTTGCTAACTAGCGGGCCGGCCGATAGAAGCGCGGGGGACTCGACGTCTGGTCCGACGAAGGCATAGATGGTTGCACCTGTAATGGTGTAGATGGCTATTTGAAGGAGGCCGAGAGCCCAGATGGACTTCTTGTAGTCTTTGGGGGTATGCATTTCGTCCATGAAGGAGAACTGGGTGGTGGCAAAGGAGTAGGCAAACACAATGTTGCTAATGGCTATGAAACCTTCGGCAAAGGTCGGGTCTCCTTGAGAGAGCGGGGACCAGTTCACTGCTGACAGTCCACCTGGTGCATCCGACGATCTGATTCCTGTCGCTATAATAGTAATACCGATTGCGGCCAAGATGGACGCGAAATCGACATATCCAAGCCAGGCCATATCGGCAAAGGACGAGGGAATTGAGAGCAATAGAAGGATGATGGCAGATACGCCACCAAACAGAAGAGAGCATATATCGCTTCCTGTGATGTGACGGAAGGCAATGGTGCCAGTTAAGCAGTGCGATGCTGTTACAAAAACGGTTGACAGGACGAGCATGACTGTGAGTACTTCATATCCAAAACGTCCTGCCATCAAAGTCCCAACATCCCCATAATGGCGTATGGATGGGTGGGCTAATTTCACTTCACCAATAATATACGACGTGTATATCGCAAGCATACCAATTGCAACCGTGCAGATCACGCCCGCGACCATCCCAAGGGTAGCAAATGCTGAGGGGAGGGATAGGGCACCCAATGCAATCGCTTCAATGATCAATAGGACGGTGAGCTGTACCCATCCCACCCGATGGTATTTTATTTCACCAGCTTCGATGATCTGTTGTTCCGCATCATTGACTTCCTTGGTAATTTTGCCATGAGAAAATGAAGCTTCAGAGGTGGGAGAGTCCGGCCACTCGAACTTTTCCTTGTGTGTGCCTGTGCGGTCCGCCGCATGTCCTGTGACAGCGTCTGTTATCTCGTCCTGGTTCCTCATGCTGTCAAGACTTGTTTGAACGTTGGATACATGGGAAAGAAAAAGAAGGAATTGCACATAAATTGCAACCCAACAGATCAGAATTCAAAGCACCGACGGACGAGTCGCTATTTGACGGTAGCATTGAATTACCACGCTCAAACCAGGACACAGTCACACGGAGACCTCCGAGACAGTTGCATTTTTGGTATCAAATACCGTGCCCCCTCCGCCGTATGCAAGAAGTCCCTTGCATTGGTAGCATTGGCCTCGATTGATGACTGGAGGCCTTCGAAATGACGTATCAGACTCCGGAGATCCACGATATTTGAGCTCATCCTCCGCATCCGGGGTTCGTTCCAACGCCTTAATCAGCGCGGTTCGTCATCTGATTGGTTTCCGACTGGATATGATTGCGGACCGACCCACCATTCTAACCTGACCTGACTTAGTGTGCATTCGTCCATTATCCGCGCCTGCAACCGGCCTGGCTCGAGATCTGGTGCACTGAAACACTTTCATGGGAAGCTTGAATTTCACAAAAGCTCGTGGTAGATATGAATTCTACTGTCATCCTCTTCTGCATTTTTTGGGTTAAGCTCGCCACCCCTTGCTGAATCTATGCAGCCACAGTAGCCCGAGGCATGCTAGCCCGAGTCACCGACACAATGTGCTAGTATTACAACTATACCAATGCGGGTTGTACTCTGTACTAGAATTGCCTACGGTGCGCGCCCGTGCGGATGCTGACCCTATCGTACCCGACCCGCCGCGGCTAGTGAACCCCCAATCTGCATCCGCACTGCGGTGAGTTCCGCGCGGATTTGCAACGATAAGCTGTGATAAACAAGGTTCATATCTTCCACCAATGTCAACAGTAACTAACGATGGCTATTAACCACGTTACCAATTCGAGATAAAGTTTCCTGTCGTGCGAGGTGGTATCCAGAACCTCCAGGGTTTCAATGCGGGGAAGGAGTTTCAGCGTAAGCTAAAACGGGTCCAAGAATCTTGTCTTCGCGTATCAAGTCAGCTAAACCGGATTACCCAGCTTACGCACTCTCTCTATCCCACGACAGAATAACATGGATCATTATCAACAAAGTAGGGTCAGATAAGAGCGATCATTACCTTATCAGAATGAAAAGCTGACGGCGACACGTATCTCCCAACTCTATGTCTGAACTTTGACACCGCGCGGCTGGGACTAGCTTCAGTCTGCCACGTTCACCCCAACCCCTTACGTATACTCCATAAACACCGACTTTTTGGCAACAGACTTCTTGATCAGATCTAACTACATGCGTGACCTCGGTGATCTATGCCCCTTACTTCCGCGCTACACGTGGTCAAACAAAGCTCAGCACGCTCTGCCATCAAGCCCCTTGCATTGATGATACGAGAGTATGGTTCTCGATAGCCATTAAAGCTTGTTCCTCGTATCTATTTTAGAACTTCTATCAATTCTTCGCAGCGAATTGTGCTTCCATTCTAGAGGCCCCATGCCGCTAGTCACCACCAAACTAACTGGAGTGACTGAGATAAACGTGCCTTTTGCGGGCCAGTACCGCGCCGCTTGGCATACCGCCTCAGTGTGGATTCCTTTGTGGTATTCGTTGAGCTTCCCGGGGACTGAGGCTTCAGCAAGAAACTGCATCCATCGATCGAGTCGTGGTATTCACTTTTGGTGCTAGACCATCTTGAGAGGAGAATATATAAGGCCGGGTCAAATAGGCCGGCCACAGCTGTGGGATAATCTAGCCAATTAAGAAGTACGGCCTGTCAAAGTATGTCAGCTTCCTAGGATGAGGGCTTAAATTGCCTACGGACGAACATTGATGTATCTATATGCTACTCTGAGGGGCTCTTATGATGCCGGACTGCACACTCAGACCCATTCTCATGGTCCCAATTACCTAGATGAAGGCATCATACGTCGCGTATATTTGAATCTTGTCATAAATTTGTCTGTTTTGCTTTTCTGTAGTAATGAACATCTAGGCGTAGCTCCCGGAAGTAAACCAAGAGGGTTTAATTGGGCCTTCAATTTCATTTAGGCATCCTTCTAAATTTACTTACTGGCAACCTTATCGACATAGTATGCAGCTATGTTCTTGACTCTTTAGGTGACATTAACTACATGGGCTTGGATATATCAATTACTTAAATTGTATCTCGAGTGCTGTGCTTACGAATGAACATTATAGAAGTCACCCAAGTACCCTTTTCACTACTAGCGCTGTCCGTTCAATGATCAAATCGATATCCGCCTTGGTGGCATTGTACGGCGGTGCAATCTGGATAATATCGCCATTCTTTCCATCGGCAACTCCGGTACCAGGAATAAAGGAAATCGAGTACTCTGACAGCCCGGTCTTGTGGATAAGAGGTGCGATTTTCTGCTCGGCCCTGAAAGGCTCTTTCGACTCTTTGTCCTTGACGAATTCGATCTACGGATGATATTAGCAAGTGCTTGCCGACACCAGTGACATCCACATCACTCGAGTTATGAAAGTCAATACTCACACCCCAGAAAAAGCCACGACCGCGGATATCGCCTACATGTTGGTGGTCGCCAAGCTGTTCTTTCAGACGATTGCCGAGATACTCACCCAAACTCCGGACGTTCTGAAGCAGATTTTCTTCCTTGATGATTTTCTGAACCTCATAGGCCGCTGCGCATGCTACCGGATGGCCCTGGTATGTCTGGCTATGTATGAATCCGCCCGTTCCTTTGTCCAGAGCCTCAACGACCCTCTTGTTGACCAGTAGAGCTCCAATCGGAGCGTAGCCACCACCCAAACCCTTTGCGACTGTCTGGAGATCGGGCACAACGCCTTCTTGTTCCCATGCGTGGAGCGTTCCGCAACGGCCCATCCCGCTCATTACTTCGTCAAGAATGAACAACGCTCCGTGGCGATCGCAGACCTTCTTCATCGCCTGATGATAACCCGGAACTGGAGGAACGCAGCCCAATGTCTGTGAGTATATGCGTTAGATAATTCCACAAAACAATGAGATGGAAACTCACTGTTCCTGAAACAGTTTCTGCGACAAATGCGCACACATTGCTGGGGCCCACGGCCTGGAATTCATCCTCCAATTCTTGTGCCAGTCGAGTAACATAATCTTGGTCGGTTTCTCCCACTCTCTTTCCTCTGTATGAGTAACAGGGAGATACGTGGGAAACATTGGTAGTTAGTATTGGCGCATAAGGTGCCCTACGCCCAGCATGTCCTCCCAACGAAAGAGATCCAAGAGTGTTTCCATGATAGCTCTGCCGACGGGCGATAAACCGCGTTCTGGACGGCTCCGGATTTAGTAGCTCGAGGAAGTACTGACGCGCCATTTTCATTGCAGCCTCAATCGCTTCGGTACCTGACCGCCTTGTGAGCTACATGTTTCACGGATTGGAATGAACCAGAACGACATACCAGAGCTGACAATGAAAGTCTTGGACAGTTGATTCTGTGTCGATTCAGATAACAACGTGGCCAACTTTTCCGACGCCTTACTTGTGAAGAATGGAGCGTAAATATAGCTGAAGCTTTGTAACTGACGCATTATAGCATTATTGACACGGGAGTTGTTGTGACCGATACACGCCACTGCAGCACCACCACTGGCGTCGAGAATCTCCCGTCCACCCTCGGCAATGAGGTAGTTTCCATTGCTGCCTACTATTGTTGGGGGCTTGGTGTCCAGTTTTGAGTGAAGGATAGCACTCTTGTCTCCCCTTGTTAGGTTACTAGATGTGTGATCTTGTTCGCCCTCGCGTCCCTTCTCTGCTTGCACCGACTTCTGTCTTCCGACAGATAAGGAAAATCGGCGAAGGGAGATGCACCCTGTCCGTGTTCGTGTTGCATCGGACAGCGACCGGGTCACTGTAGAACGCATGATTAAGTTAAGAATATCCGAGATGATCGAAGATGAACTGGACGAAAGCAAAGTCGACCCGCGCCAGGATGTTCATATAGTAACTTGGACCTAGGGTAGTATCAGGCGACTCGGCCGATTAGCCACGTCTATGGGTCACTCCACGGGCATATTGTACCTCTTAGATTTAACATGTGTTGGGAAGGTATGCCCTTTTTATCTGGTTATCAAAGTCCCTTGCGGGTCCGATTTGTTGGATCGCCGAAAGGGCCGCAGAGACACGAGAGATCCGAAGAGTCGGATAGGCTCCTTCTTCCGAGCTTCCGAGTCACTTCAGGTCATTTTACATCATCTCCGCACACGCCGCCTTCCTAGCTGGGTATCTTCACGAAGACCCTAAGAATTAAGTACACGTCGATCATATTCCCCGCTTTGTATGAGTTGTTTGTGCGATAAGCTTGCATAAATCCATCCGGTGCTCGGGTTCCTTATCCGACAGTTTCCCCTCCCTCATTAACATGTTGTATGTCATATATCCAATACAAACTAGACGCAGAGTCCTTTTTTCCTCAATATGCTTCTATTAAATCGGTGCCGTGGATAAGTTTATAGTGCTATCATACTTCTAATTAGACATTAAGCGGTAGTAATACTACAGTACACTGCGACCAAGCCCATGCTTGACCTGTGAAGCACAGATTTCACCTGTTATCAACGCCTCAATCATTGCCACTCCCACACAGGTCTTGTGGCGGATACTGGTGGAACTCCAGAGCGTTGTTCATGGCAACAATACGTTGGCCATGGCCGAATCGCGGAATTGCGCGGCGGGACATAGGTATACTAGGTCCTTGTCAGGATGTCCAAGGGACATAGACATATCCTAAGTACCAACCGTCTGCATGAGAATTCCCTCCGGGTATAGTCCCGTCTCAAGAATGATCTCGGGATGTACCAAAGTGAAATGACTACGTCTTCGGTCATTCGATGGAGTCGACGTGCAGAAGGGCTCGGCTCGTTCGATTTCTAAAGAACAGAAATGGTTAGCACTGAGGAATGACCTACAGGAATACGAGAATAGCTGACTATCACTGAGGCACCGCTTATGTCTTCGTCTGATGTACTTCCAGATGAGTAACAACGATGAAGGAGCTGTGACAAGGAGGGTAACGAATGCGATAATAGTTTCTGGAGACCACGCCATTGTCAATGCTATAGTAAATCTGTAGGTCACAACCGTCTTTATAGTACCTTTTATGCAAGATAGACTGGGCTAAAATATGTCGCGCCAAGTTACCGAGGACCACATCAAACGTAGTACAAAGACTTTGCCCACGCCACCTCAAGGGGTAAGCCGAGCGACAGCAACGCAAACATTGGTGGGATCGCAAAAGGCAAACGATCCATGCTTCGAATTCCACGATCAAATCAGTGGTTCTTGCCTTTGACGTTTCATCATTTTTGAATTTTTTCAGACGATTCCCGCATCATGCATTTCCTGCATGTTACCGTAGTCGGTAAACCAGAAAGGCTTGAACTGATTAGGTAGATAAAGACCAAAATGGCAACACCCTACGAGTACTCTCATATCAACTCCCTCAGAACAACGTCCTAGTGTGAGAAGAACCAAAAAAATGAGATAAGGAAGCAGGAAGAGAAAAAATCTCATGTATCAAGTCAGCAAGATGACCCTGTTTCGTTTTGGTCGTGCACAAAGATATCATTCTAGGAGGCCCGGCAACGTGACATACGCTACAAAATGGCAATTCAATAGAGCAGTCATTCTCTTCGCAGCAGCCTGCCTACTAATGGAATTTTTGACAACTGTGGCCTGCACCGGTGTTCGCCATTCAATTACCCGCGCGTATTTCAGAAAGCAAGTAATGTGGGTAGCTCGTGACGTCGAGGTCCCTAGTGGCAGATAGCAGAAGTTTCTTTATCCAATACCGTTGTCTGTCTACACCTGTCCTTGGTGTCGAGACTAGGAGCCAATGCAGGAGGGAAATTGCTGCAGACTAGTCCAAATAGGACCGACCTTCTGGTATGCATATGCACCAATACACTTAGTGACTCGCTTTCAGCTGGTGCCTCGGGTGTTATTCTATGTCTCGAACTAGACATGAATACATGTGCCTATTGCCCAGTTGAGGAAGTTGGCGATTTCCAGTTATGTCATCAGCTATATGGTCAAGTAGCTGGCAATCGTACTTGATGTAGTCTGTCACCTTTTGACCATGTCATGTTTGTTGCTCCGCTCATCTACTTTGGCTATCTCGATGGCTGAAGCTAAACGAGCCACAAACCCAAATGTTTGTTTGGCACTTAAGACCCATATTTTTGAATAAGATAAGATACAATAAGATATATCATAACATACAGATATGCAGCTGCCTTCTCTGGTCCAAATTCTACCGTTTGAAATTCCGTGAACTGAGTAAAAAGTTTTGGTTTAAGTCCAACGTCTGGCCAATGAGCCCTCATCCAACCTTCCCGCCGTTGACGAACTTCGTGGAACCACACAAGTAGCCCATAATTACCCCTCTATGGATGTTCCCTTTACGTAAAGACATACACAGATGGCTTACCGTTAGATATACAGCCACGAAAGCCCTAAGTGTGGCTCGACCCCCTCAGCCGAGAGAGGTAATTACTTACGTTGGAAGTTCATTCGCTGTTCTTCTAGATTGGCGGTGCAACGTGCACCACATCTCCTAGGTTTCTGAAACCCATCAAAAGTATTTGTTCAGTATGGGCATAGCCCCCGGGGCATAGACGTGATATCGGAAGACCCACACTACCTTCTCGATCTTGCTTTTACCCAAATGATCGGGTCTTCACTTTCTCATTCACTATTTATGACATTTGACAGAGCCCCTAGGACGGGGATTGGTGTACTCGTTAGCCCCCTGCCATGTCTGAAATAGCCGTCCCCTGCTCAGCTCTCAAGCTCTGGATGAGCATTTCACCCGGCTCTAGGCACCCCTTCGTCATACATAGACACTAAAAGATTTTCTGGTCACCGGGGAATTGTCGCCATTCACATCATGATCAGACAGATAGAGTAGACGACCTCATTCGTTTTCCAAGAGCACAACTGCAAATAGTGTCATCTGCAGTATTAGGTAGATCGTCATTTTCTACTGTTCTGTATGCCAAGTCGAGTGCTCTGCTAACCTATTCTGTGATAGTTTCGGGCAAACTGAAATCGGAATCCAACCTTCTATATAACAGACATTTTACCCATCCTGGACTCTCATGGCCTCGAATCGGTCGCGTACTATTTCCGTCAATGCAGCCCTGGATACCCGAAGCAGTTGACAATCACTCCTTACCAATATAGTGGAGGTCCCCCTCCCTCGACAGCCTATGAGCCCAATTCCTGATAGGCGTCATGTCAGCAATACCATTGTAACGGCGGTATACTATATAGGTGACCCCAGGGCATTCTGGATCGTTGATCCAGAAGTATTCTGAGCTTTTAGTCTTGTGGAATGCAGAGCCCGGGCTACATCTCTTACAACCATTCCTATGACGCCCTACCTGTATCCATCCTTATATCTCCTTCGCATCTTGAAATGCATCTCAGCATCTAGTATGACTAGTTGGAATAATAAAAGTCCATACATATACCACCACTCCCATAGAGAATCTCAGACCAACACCACCCAAAAACGCGCTATACCACATCTGTCCACAAGCCAGGGCCAAAACCCTAATTTTATACAGGTCGAGAGCTAAGCTATCGGATCCTGTATCTTCGTGACGATAAAGCTTATATTGCCACCTGGGAGTAGTGATAGTATTAGATTATATACAAATTTCAGGGAGCTATACACATTAATATGCTGAGTTCACAAAACCTACAATTTGCAATGTTCAACTGTAGGAAACGGTCAGAAATTCTGCGGGGTGGAATGGAATGAATGATGCGGTGGCTGTTTATTTTGTCAGGTTAATCGAGTCGTGGGACTCTACTACGAGTCCATGTGTCCCTTTTGTTTGTTGCTTCGAGATTCTATTTTACTCCCGTTCTCGAATATCTTGTTATTTCCAGGCTATTAAAAGTAGACAGTGTATACGACTGAAACTCTGGCACAACTCTCGTGAAAAATATAGTTGAGTTACGGTGAGAAAGCTATCGGGGTGGTTATGTTCGGGATAGATGGTCTGGTTACATACAACGAATAATGTAGTTAAATGTTTTCGCTGTGGGCGATTAATGGAACCATCATACACCTGTAGAAATAGTTTATCTATTATCTAAGGGATATATTTGCCAAACTTCTTGAACTCTTCATCTGCCGCTAACCGCGCCATATCCTCCTCCTGCAATGAAATAGCAACAGCGATCTCGCCATCCGACCTCTTGGGCATGAAATAAATCAAACCTTCAAACGGAGTGAACTGTGGTCGTCGCACAGCCTCTGGCTTTCCAAGACCAAATCCAAAATCTAATTCATAGCAGTTGACACTTGCCCACGAGCTAATCATAATATCCGTCGATGGGTTGAAACTCGCTCCGAAGGAGATGGACGATTTGTCTACGAGGCGCTCAATGTATGTCGCCAGCGCGCGGGTGCGTGACTGTAAAGAGGACGTCTGCGGGTCTATTGCTGTTCTAAGTTGTGAAGCAATGATGCCTAGAGGTTTATCGACTAGATCTTGTACTGTATCGGTGTGGTATACCATGTTTTGCATGAGACCGGTGTATGTCGGAGGAATGCCAAAGTATTTCCGTACGTCAACAGCACGACCAAGTGTTGTGTTATGAGATGGTGATAGTCGCTTCAGGCGAGCTCGAAGCACTGATTGCCAAACGAAGGCGCTCAGTGCATCATCAGTCGAGATGAATTCTGAGGTCTTCGACTGTTCAGCAAGCAATTTAACTTTAGCGAGCGAGGATTTGTCGAACGTAAAATATGACCAGGTAGACTTTGGGAGAGGCACAGATGGCTGCGGGGGTCCAGGCCTGATTATTTGACGGTTGAGTTCCGGCCCGGGTCCATATGAGCCATCTAGGAGGGGAATGAGGTGACTCTCTACCAGGTTCCCGGACTCTAGCTCCAGCTCTGTAAATGTATCCCCACGACATGCTTTCGAGAGAAGGTGGATAACCTGTCCCTGACCAGTCATGTCCATTGCACTATGATGGCCAACAAGTGTGAGGACCAGGCCGCCGTGAATGAAGTTAGCCTGGACGAGAAAGGCCCGTGCGATAGTATCTTCGTCAGGACCTGGCAAGGTCATTCGAGGAGCAATGATGTTCTCGTCTAACATCCGAAAGGGAAACTCGGCGTGTCTCAAATCCTCCATGGTGGGGACGTTGGGATCATGACGAAAGTCTTTCACGACTAGTGGTGGAGTTTTCCCCAGTGCTTCGATCTTGAACGTGCCAGAACCTTTATGGCTGCTGCCTTCACTGACTATCTGGCCTGCTACCCACGGGAAATTGGTGGACAGTCTCTCGAGGCCTTTCTCTAGGCTCCCAACTATCTCGCTGTCAGATGAGGAATCGAACGGAAAGCAGAGGCAAATTTGCGTGTAAATCCTGAGGGCAGGTAGCTGACCCAGGAAGTTCAGTTTGACAGGTAATGCATCCATGATGTGAGAGGTTAGTGCCTCCATAGGACTGCCTGTTCCTATCGCGATATATAAACTTGAACGCCACTGAAGACGTGGGGATGATTAATTATGAATCATATTAGGCCCCAACCAATAATATTCAATCATGGCGATTGTGGATCCAAGGTGGATCCTGGAGGTCGTACTCGGCATTAACCGATCAAGTCTCGCAGTACTCGTATAAATTGTGCCGAGGACCACAAAATGGGGCTATGTTAATATTCCCGCCCTTGACCCCGAGAGCCCAATCAGCAGGAATGGTTTTACCTGCTAATAGCCCGCATCACTCCGTGTCTGCGGCTGTGAGCCATGAGCCTCCGAGAAACCATCAGGTTGCCAGCGAAGAGATAATCTCTTTTAGCCGATTCATATTGGCTGGCTTCGTGAGAAAGAGATCGACACCACTCCTCATTGCATCTCTCTTCATGGCCGGGGTATCAACTGCAGTCAACGCGATAATCGTCACCGGGCGTAATGAATTACTATTTTCATATTCACGTATCTTTTGAGATGCGGTTACACCATCCATGACCGGCATGGAGAGGTCTGACTAGTTAATTAACAGACTAGAATGTGGAGGGGTGCTAACTTACCCATGATAATCGCTTGAAAGGTCTCGCTCTCCGCTTTCTGTACTGCTTCAAGCCCGTTTACAGCACTTTCATAACAAAACCCGGCTTTTTTCATAGTGCTTTGTAGAATCTGGTCTCACGGTTAGCAGGGTAGTACACATACACAGGGCATCATTGGTTTCATACCTTGAGGTTCAATTCATTGTCTTCGACAAGGAGAACCTTACATTGTCTAATTGGGTTGTTCTGATTAGAAGATATAGTGTCCTGGTTGTTTGTAGGTTCTCGTTCATGTATACACGAATTACTCTTATCTGAGACCTCGTGATTTTGTTCTGTGGCTTCTGGCGATGTAGATGCGGCGATTTGCAGTTGACGCTGGTAGGTATCTTCAAGGGTGGCTGGGGTTGGTTCGTGCACTCTATCGTCATCCGCTTCATGCAGCTTAGTCCTTTTTTCAATACAGCTCGT